GGACATCCAACAACTAGAAAGTGGAATACAGATGGGTGACATGCGTATCAACAACATCAGATATGCAGATGACACCACCCTGATGGAACTCATATTTGAAAACCTCCAAATCTCAACAAATGAACTGGAGAAGGCTTGTAGAAGATGGGGTATGAAAATCAATGCAACAAAATGCAAAGTCATGACAGAGGATCATCAAGATATTTCACTTAACAACACCAACATTGAGAAAGTGGAAAAATTTGTCTTTCTCGGCAGCACAGTTCCATCCATAGAAGAGGACGTGAAGAGACGTACACGACTGGCTGCTTGGGCATTCGGAAGACTGAAAAGTGCCATCTGGTCCAACCAAGATATTTCTAGGAGTCTCAAAGTCAGGATCTACAGAGCACTTATCCTCCCTATTGCCACATATGGAGCAGAATCCTGGACTCTCCGAAAATCTGATAGAAATAAGCTTGAAGTATTTGAAATGAGGTGTCTCCGGACCATCCTTGGAGTTCACCTAATGGACAAGATTAGGAACGAAGAGATCAGGCAGAGACTGAACATCCCAAGCACCATATGCGAGGAAATAACCAAACGTTGCTTGAAATGGTTTGGCCATGTTTTACGCATGCCGCATCACCGCCTACCATACCAAGCATTCCAAAATGACTTTAATGGACGCAGACCTCGGGGACGCCCTCCAAAGAGATGGAAGGACCAGGTTCAATACGATGTGGGATTATCCACACAAGAGGCAGAGCAACGAGCCCAGGACAGATCAGACTGGAACATGATTTCTCGTAGGGGAGCAAGGGGACACACCGTCCTATGCACCTAAGTCAAGTAAGTAAGTATTTTAAAGTATATATACGGGAAACGTCAATTTGTGGCGCAATGAGCAAAAACGTTTTTTTTTTTTGGGGGGGGGCAAGGGGCGGAGACACCGGAAGCACAGGGATTTGAGGCATTTAATAACGGTCCGATGAGCATTCAAGGGGCCGCGTTAGGGCCCCTGGCTGGGTACAGGGCGGAGCCCCCGAAGCTCAATGGTTTTAGGCATTTAATTACGGTAAGATGAGCACATTTTGATACCTTATTTATGACACTGGCAAGTCACTAATTGGCATGGAGTCCAGGGGGCGGAGCACAATTAAGCTCATTGGTTTTAGAAATTAAACAACGATCAGATGAGCATTTAGGGGCCAGCCTTATGGCCCCTGGTATGGTCCAGGGGCTGGAGCTCCCACAAGCTTAGACTATTAACGTCTTTCCTTTTACAACAATGGCAATGGTCCTCTCTTAATTTGAGAATTTCGCGAAACTTTCTATCAAGAAGTAGTTCGGATAGGAATAATTGGGTGAAAATCAATTTAATTTGATCAATGTTTTGTCAAGGTTAATTTCAATAAGAACAACGGTGGATATGAACAACAAACTTTAAAAGAGAAAACAATCCATGCGTCACGCCAATTACCAGGATTATCAGGATTATCACGAAATCGATTGTGGCTTAGATTAAGAGATTAAGTTATCAGGAAATAATGTGACGTCCCAGGGTTACGTTATTCTGGTGGTGATTACAAACAAAATCGAAAACGTCTGGGATGAACAAAACAAAAAATACTTGCAAAATATGCAATCCGCTGAAAATTAGTTTTCGTGCGAAATTGCAATCACGGTATAAATGGTGTGCTATTTTTATGTAAATAATACGTTCATATCTCCATCTGATTGAAACATTATGATAATCCTAGCATATATATTTTTGAATTATTCTGTTACTTGTGAGGCAAGCTAGTACATATTGAGCTAGTGCCGTGAGCGTCAAAAGTGTTTCTTCTCGGAACAGTATCTAGGTTAAGATTCCATTAGTTGAACCTGTCTAACGGTTGCGCGCTTTAGCTGATTCTAGTCGATAGCATCGATCGGTAGTCGATACGAATTAGTGCATAACGGTCGCCTGCGTATAATAAACAAACACGCCGCGAGCGATTTTCATTGACGGAATTCTTTCAATTTCTTGAATTCTTTGTTTCCTTCTATATATTCTTTGTTGCTACTTTCGTTCCTTCATTCTGTGGTGATCATCATCTAAAAATAATTTGTCCGTCCATCTAACCATATAACTGGTCATGACGTTTCAGTTTGCACAATTGCGTAATGTAGGTCTAGCCATAGAGAGAGAGAGAGAGAGGGGGGGGGGGCAGTGGTGCCATTGGAGGATGGGGTTCAAATGGGGTCTCATTAGATTCTGAATTTAAATTAAAATCCTAATTTAAATTCACATTAATTGATTATTATCCAAACATGTGTAGCGAAGTAGAGATATCTCCCTTTAAACCAGGTAACCCCCACCCCTCTCTCTCTCTCTTTTATTGCATCATCCTCTCGACTGGAGGTCAGCAAACTACAGTGAGACGATAACCTCTCTCTCTCTCTCTTTCTCTTTCCCTCTCCTATTTCATCATCTTTCTTCCTAACTGAGGTCAGCGAACTACAGTGAGATGATACCTGGTCATTTTCCACTGGTCCAAAGATTCCAAGAATAGGATGTTAGTAGACAAAGCCCATATTCAACCAGTGTTTGTGTTGACTGATTATGAACAGGCAAATAGTGGGAAAACAGGCAAATTAATTATCCCTCTGCATACCAGTTTGAGCTGGAAGACAAAACATTTGTTTTCTTGGTAAAGGAGCTGAGTCACCAAAGAAAGTAGTAGCAGGAATATCCACAACTGACCAATGAGCATTTGTATTTTCTACTCCTTCCCCTTATTTTTACTTTTGCCCAATTAGAATGTTAGGACTAATGGTCTAGGAACACTGTTTGAGTGTCCATCAAGTATTATACCCGCCCAGTCACCTACAGTAATAATAATGAAATAGTTAAGTTTAGGGTAAGAATATTTTGTAGGAGGAGATCTCAGAATCGAGATTGTGAATATGTAATTAGGTATAAAACCCCCATCCCCTGCATGAAATCCTCACTTGGAACCCCCTCACTTGGAACCCCCTCACTTGGAAACCCCCACCTGGAACCTCCTCATCCGAAACCCTTCTCCTGCTAATACATCTTTAATAATCATCAATGCTTCAAATATCGAGTATACAACATACTTCAAGATTTGGACTTTGGAGAAATATCAGCGAGTAACAGTGTAGACACTTCGAGAGGTTGAGGAAATTCTGAAATACACCTTCCGTATTTTAAAGTCAACTCAATGTCAACTTCGGCTCAAGGCATTTGGGAAAGTGTGTGTTCCACGCTATAAAAGAACTGTATCCAGCATAGTATAAAGTCACGTCCAGCTTCGTTCCCGTACCCGTCAAGCTCCAGTCCCGCCAAGTCAAGTCCAGCTTTGTTCCCGCCAAGTCAAGTTCCTCCAAGTCAAGTTCCTCCCAGTCTCGTCCAAGTTCGTCCCAGTCGCATCCCGTTCCAAGTCAAGTCCTCGATCGAAATATCAGCGAGCTAAGTGGCCATAATTACTAACTTCATTTCCATTAACCTATCCCTTCCCCTTCCCCATTAGACTGTAACTAATTAAGTAAGAATTAAGTCGCTCTTTAACTCTTAAGAATACTTTGCAATTATATTTATTGCAACATTTATATATAAATTGTATTATTTCTATTATTTTGATTTGATGGATGAGATTTGTCATTCATATTAATTAAATAATTACCAAGTGACATCGTAATTCAAATCGTGTCCAAGCACTTTATTTCTGGATTTGTCTCTTTGTATTTTATATTTTAATAATATAATATCATACACTGACACAGTGGTCTATTTGAGACTAACCCACCCCCGAGTGAAAGTCATATAGCTAGCGGACCAATACAAAAACCTGATTTCACTCGGAGCTCGATTCTATTATTTCATCATAATAGAAGACGGCGTGGCGTGGCCGTTAGACGGAACCCACGACCTTCGCGTTATCAGCACGAATGCTCTAGTAGGATTTTGGTTTTAAATATTTCAAAAAGCTGTAACGCCCCCAAAATAGTTTTATAAAAGACAGGTTTGATGCCAAGTCCCTGTCAGTAAAAGTGCTTGTATATGTAGTGTTTCAGTTGTGTAGAGAGTTGATAAATTTCACACTTTTGCCTTGTCTGTAAAGTAGCCAGGATAGAGTTCCCTTCATTTTCTGAATTGGTCTCCGTAAATTTTTTTTATATCCCCCTTATCAGCAGACTTTGTTTTCTGGTGTGAGTGTTGATGTGGTAGTGAAAGGAATGTGTGTGATCGAGTGAGTCATACTAGTGTTGTGGAAGTTTTGTTTTCCTTTTTGTGTATCGACCAGGTAGATACTATTGCCCTATTGTTGTTGTGTTGAATGTGAATTTATTTGTGGGCATAATATTTTATCCTTTCCAAACTGGGTGATACAAATTAATCCTACCTTTGCTTTTTTTTTTTTTTTAAATATTTTACTTTCGGAATTCAGTTGTTTTGTTTTGGGAACTATTTAGAGTATACTTTCTTTTTTTTCTTCCGAAAAATGGCTGGTATCAAAGGGGATTGTGTGGTATTGGTCAGAAAGTTGGACCCAAACACAAAAGAAAAAGAGTTGAAAGATTTTCTCGAGGAAGTTGGAGAGATAATCAACATTCAATTTGGGAAGGATTCTCTTACAAATGAATTTACTGGGAGTGCCCATTGTGCGTATGAAAATTGTAGCAACGCTCAGCGTGCGATTTCCAGTTTGAATGGGAAGTTGCTCGGTGTAAATGAATTGGAGGTAAGGGAGGTCCCCCGATCCCACCTTGTTATGCACAGTAACCTTAGTGACAGTTCAAGTCCAAGTCAAAAAATCCAAACCGTCATCCAAAATTCGCAGAAGCTCTCACTATTTTCCGGGGACCAAAAGCACAAGGGAGGTGAGGTCCCATTTGAAGTATGGCGGCACGAGGTTGAGTGCCTTCAGAGGGATGAGGGCCTCAGTCCTGAAAGCCTTGCGCGATTGGTAAGGAGGTCGCTGAGGGGAGAAGCGGGCCAGCTTGTGTTAAATATGGGCCTTGATATATCTGTAATAGAAATAGTTGACAAACTAGAGGGGTTTTATGGGACGGTGGAGACTGGTGCAGTGCTGCTTCAGCAACTGTACTCGAGCAAACAGGAGCAATCGGAATCAATTGCTGCCTATAGTGCGCGCCTCCAACTTATCGTAGATAAAGCCGAACAAAGGCAGGGCATATCAAGAAGTGCAAAGGACGATACAATCAAAGTTGTATTCTGGAAGGGGCTTTGCGACGAGCAGCTCAAACAGGCGCTACGCCATAAGTATGAGTCGATAGGTTCGTTCGACGCTCTCGTTCGAGCAGCTAGGCTAGCAGAGCAAGAGAGTCGGGACTTTGGCGAGTTTCATGCCCCCTCCCAGCGTCCCCGCACCCGGGTTGGTGCACATTCCAACCAAGTAGACAACAACCGATCCGACTTAGAAAGGGAGGTAAAATACATAAGAGAAAAACTAAAGCAAATGGAAATGAATAGAGATAGGAATACAGATAGTAGATCCCAACCCCCAGTCAATCGTCCCCGTGGCCCTAGGGGGCCCTGCTATAACTGCGGCCAGCAGGGTCACTTTGCGAGAGAGTGTGATGCCCCAAAAATGAGAGCCCCTAATGGACGGCCCCCTCCCCTATTTGCCCAGCACCATATGCATGCAGGAACAATGCCCCCTCATGACAACATGCCCCATCCTCCTCCCCTCATGTCCAATCCTCCCCCTCTCATGTCCCATCATTCTTCCCCCATGCCCCACCAAGACACACAGTTTAGTTTAAACGAAAACAGGTCTCTGCCGTGGGACAGGCGGTAGACCAGGTGCAGGTTAATTCTAGTAATGTCCCCCCTTCCCCAGCTACGATGAAGAAAATGGTTGGTCCAGCAAATGAAGCTTTGTTCGTTATTGATGGACATAGATCCAAATGCTTGATTGACACTGGCTCCCAAGTTACGACTCTGTGTAAATCATTTTATGCATGTAATCTTAAAGGTACCCCTCTCCATTCACTTGAAAACCTTATTAAGGTTGAAGGTGCAAATGGATTGCCTGTCCCCTATTTAGGATATGTAGAAGTTTCCATTCATCTCCCAGGTTCCCTCCCCGCCCCCCAGGAATTAGTTGCCCCTGTGTTGATTGTCCCCGATACCCCATATAATCGAAAGGTCCCATTATGTGTAGGTACAAATGTTATTCAATCGTGTATTGAGATAGGACATGCTGATTATGGCCATGATTTCGAATCACATACGGACTTGACCCCTACTTGGAAAGAAGTGTATGCATGTATGCAACGACCGATACCGGCGACCGTGGAAGGCAGACTCGGCGCTGTTAGGATCGCAGCCAAAAAAAGCTGTTAAGATTCCTGCAAAACAGGCAGTAGTTGTGCCGGGTGAAGTATCGCTTCCTTGCGTAGGATATGCATATGCAGCAATGTTAGAACCCCGTATACGTGATTTCCCCACTGGCCTGGTGGTAAATCAGAATGTCATAGTTGTTGATCGCGAGCGGCAGCAATCTAGGTGTGTCCCTATTTTGATTGAGAATCATACTGACAGTCCCATTTGGTTATACAGACGCCAGATTCTAGGTGATCTATATGTGTGTGAAGTGCAAGGGCCCATTCAGACAAACAAGCAAAGCGTGGTAACTCCCGAGGAAATGAGAGGTGGTGATGATGTTATAGAGGGATTAGATTTTTCGGACTCTCCTGCCTCCCCCTATGATGTAGATAAGGTGAAAAAGGTTTTGGGCAAATACTCCCATGCCTTTAGCACATCCGATCATGATCTAGGGCGAAGTAGCATCATCAAACACACTATCCCCCTCAATGATGCGCAGCCATTTCGAGAGAGGTACCGGCGGATCCCCCCCTCAATGTACGAAGAAGTACGGGAACACATAAGATCTATGCATGAAGCCGGCGTCGTTAGGGAATCATTCTCCCCATACGCAAGTCCCGTCGTTCTTGTTCGCAAGAAAGATGGAACTTTAAGGTTTTGCATAGATTTCCGCAAGCTCAATCAGCGAACAATTCGCGATTCCTATGCTTTGCCCAGAATAGACGAGACACTCCAAATGCTCCATGGTGCAAAGTGGTTTAGCTCCTTAGATCTTAAATCTGGATATTGGCAACTAGAAGTTGAGGAGAAAGATAAGCACAAAACTGCCTTTGTACTTCCCCCTCCGCTCGGACTGTGGGAGTGCAATCGCATGCCTTTCGGACTTTGCAATGCTCCCAGTACTTTTCAAAGGGCGATGGAGAAATGCCTAGGAGACTTAAATCACACTTGTTGTGTCGTTTATTTAGATGACATAATAGTGTATGGGAGAACTGTCGATGAACAAGTTAGTAGACTAGAAACCGTCATTAAGCGCCTCGCTGAAAATGGGTTCAAACTAAAAGCATCCAAATGTAAACTCCTCCAAACCAGAGTGAAATATTTGGGCCACATCATTTCAGATAGAGGAATCGAAACTGACCCAGACAAAATTGAATCTGTTAGAAGTTGGGCTACCCCTACTTGTGTCCGAGAGGCTCGTTCTTTTCTTGGATTTGCGAGCTATTACAGGAAATTCATCCCTGGATTTGCTAAGATAGCCACACCCCTGCATGATCTCCTGGGTGGACCCCGTAAGAGGAAAGGTAACCGTAGAAACCCCCCACACAAATCCCCTCCCTGGAAGTGGACCCCCGAATGTGAAAAGGCATTTCAGTTGTTGAAAGAAAAACTGATGAGCCCCCCTGTGTTGGCATATGTTGATTTTGATAAGTCTTTCATATTGCATACAGATGCAAGTACTACTGGACTGGGTGCAGCCCTATATCAACTAGATGCAAACGGGAAGGAAAGGGTCATAGCATACGCCAGTCGTTCCTTGAATAAGAGTGAAAGGAACGCCCCTGCTCACAAGTTAGAGTTTTTAGCTTTGAAATGGGCCGTGACTGATAAGTTCCATGATTTTCTGTATGGAAACAAAGTACATGTTTGTACAGATAATAATCCTCTCACTTATGTTCTAACCACGGCGAAGCTTGATGCAACAGGGCAACGTTGGCTAGCAGCCTTAGCGAATTATGATATTACTCTGACATATCGCTCCGGTAAGCTTAACATTGACGCCGATGCTCTTTCTAGACAACCCCAGCCCACCTGTAGTACCGAGTCCCCAGTAGATAGTGAACCCCCAATTTCAGTTGAAGCATTCCAGGCGGTAGTTAATTATGCCCTACATGTTGACGTGGAAGATAGTCCATATGTTGAAATGTTGGGTGCTACTGTAAATGATTTTACTTGTTCTAGTGACCCCCCTCATAGCTTCCCTGGCCTACCCCCAGACTGGGAGGAAGAACAAAGTAAGGACCCTTCCATCAGAAAAGTAATAGATTATGTTAAACAAGGTACACAGCCCCCAATAGGTTTGGTTAGGAATGAATCACTTCAGGTGAAGATTTTGTTGAGGGAGTGGGACAAGCTAGAGATTAAACAAGGAGTCTTGTACAGAAGGAGGTTTGATAAGGGAAAGCTCACCCTACAACTTGTCCTTCCCCCAAAGTATCGAACATTAGCCTTGAACTCCCTACACGACGAAATAGGCCATCTAGGAATTGAACGAACCACAGACTTGATTCGTGAGAGATTCTTTTGGCCTTTCCTAGCTAAAGATGTGAAAATCTATGTTGGGAGTTGCGGTCGTTGTGTGCGCAGAAAAGGAGTCCAAAATTTGAGAAATACTGCCCCCTTAGTTAGTGTGAAGACTAATAGGCCCCTTGAATTAGTTTGTATGGACTATTTGACCCTAGAGGAATCAAAAGGTGGGTACGGGAATATTTTGGTTATCACTGATCATTTTACTCGATACTCAGTAGCGGTGCCAACCAGAAACCAGACGGCAACCACTACGGCCAAGGCCCTCTTTGATCACTTTCTAGTACATTATGGATTCCCTGAACGGTTGCACTCTGATCAAGGTAGAAACTTTGAGTCCGAGGTAATTAAGCAACTGTGTAGTTTGGTAGGAACCCATAAATCTAGGACAACCCCCTATCACCCCCAAGGTAATGGCTCTTGTGAGCGGATGAATCGTACACTCCTCGGTATGCTTGGTACCCTCTCTGACGAGAAAAAGAGCGACTGGAAATTGTATGTTGCCCCCCTAATTCACGCATACAATTGCACTAAACATGACGTCACTGGGTTTTCCCCCTTTTATTTGATGTTTGGTAGACACCCCCGCCTTCCCATAGACTTGTACTTAGGACTCCATGCAAAAGATAACTCTTCCTCTAGTGCACCCGAGTATGTCACGCATTTACGAGATCGTCTTGATTATGCTTATAATTTGGCATCAGGAAGAGGTGATGAGATGAATCAGAAAAACAAAACTGCCTATGATAGGAAGCTGAAGGAAAATAAGGTTGTGGTAGGAGATAGAGTCTTAGTTAGAAATGTGGGGGTAAGAGGAAAGAACAAGCTTGGTGACAAATGGGGCAAGGTGCCACATGTTGTCGTGGAGCGCCCCAACATAGACATCCCTGTGTTTAAGGTGCGACCCGAAACAGGAGGTGGTAAGAGCCGAATGCTTCATCGCAATTTATTGCTCCCCTGTAACTTTCTGCCTAAGACTGCACCCCCTCCCAGGCCCCCTCCCCCTAGACCTGTAAGGAAAACCCCTCCCGCCCCTGTAATTGAGATTGAGCAAGAGCCCGGCCCATGTGATGAGAATGACATTGATGTTGTCGTTTGGGATGTCCCTGTGGTAGATACAAGTGAAAATGAGGTAGATATTGTGAATCCGAATGTTGAGGAAAATGATAGTAATTTGACGCCCCTGAACCCCGCCCCAGAAGAAACAGACCCTGTAATTTTAGAGAACGATAATGACCATGTTAGCACTGCTAGTGAAGATAGCAGTGATGCTAACAGTGATATAGTTGATATAGAGGACCAAGAGGAAGATCCTACCCCCGATACATGCCCCGCCCTAACTGGTGAGGAGCAAGAGGCCGCCTCCATGTTTGAGGAAGATTGTCCTCCGAGACGATCGCAAAGATGCCCGCGCCCACCAAATAGGCTAGCATACTACCAGAGCCAAATAGTACAGCCAATCAATAATAGCAAGTATGGATGGTCCATGATGTATGTTTTGCTGTTGCTAGTGTTTGTGAAATTTATATTTTTGTTATTTACACCAACTGAGATCATTGCGAGTATGATGTTGATGTTAGTGGTGCTTCTGTTATCAACTCTGCCAGCAACCCGTGACATGGTTGCACCAGTTTTTAGTGTAAGGAAAAATATTGACCAGGTGTGATTACATGATGTTAGAAGAAATGTAAATATGAACTTTGGTATGGATGAGAAAGCCACTCATTCTGTATTTTAATTTGACAATTGATTTTGATACTTTAGTATTGATACAAGTACTAATAACCTGTTTTTAAGAGTGGGGATACTCCACCCTTAGCTGTTTGTATATGGTTTGTGGCTCAATGAGTTCCACACATGCATTAATTGCACCATAGTATTATTGTTATAATGTGCACATACAGTGACACATCTTCTATCTCTGATTTCTTTGTGAGGAAATCATACAAATTATTGTTTTGTTTGAGGTTAGAGAGTATGAAGCTTTCTAGATTGCAAGGAATTGAAACATTCACATAAAATAGAGATAATCACTTATATTTTATGTGAAGGTTAAGATGTTTTAGTTGTGTTTTTTTGGAGACATTTGGTTGATTGGTAGGGAAGAAGTAGTAAAATAGATGTAGTTCTTATTATACATTGTGTATCTTTGCACTAATAGATACAGTCATAAATGATGTATACTATGATATATTGTACTTTGATACAATATCGCTTGATTTAAATTTGTTTGGGAATCTGAGGATATACCGACATGATATTATTTTGTGTAATTATTTGCATTCTAGCTATGCATTTGATTTATTTTAAGTTTGCACCGACGTTTTTGTAGATGGATTTGTAGAGAATTAGAGATGGAGTTTAATCTCTGTTGTTATGTAATAGGATATGACTTGTGTACTAGGATACTTTGGTCATAAAGTATAATTGTGTTTTATGCTATTGCCTTCATATCTTGTATATGAGCGCAGTAGGCATCAATTGAGTGTTGTAGTAGTAGTTTAGATGTCATTTGGTAAACCCTAAGTTTCTAGGAAAGACAATTGTACTTATTAGTCCTGAGATAAATTGTGGTGTGTTTTTTTATATTCCATATTTGGGGAATGGCGAGGTCGCCATTCAAGTGGCCAAGGGGAAGATGTAGCGAAGTAGAGATATCTCCCTTTAAACCAGGTAACCCCCACCCCTCTCTCTCTTTTATTGCATCATCCTCTCGACTGGAGGTCAGCAAACTACAGTGAGACGATAACCTCTCTCTCTCTCTCTTTCTCTTTCCCTCTCCTATTTCATCATCTTTCTTCCTAACTGAGGTCAGCGAACTACAGTGAGATGATACCTGGTCATTTTCCACTGGTCCAAAGATTCCAAGAATAGGATGTTAGTAGACAAAGCCCATATTCAACCAGTGTTTGTGTTGACTGATTATGAACAGGCAAATAGTGGGAAAACAGGCAAATTAATTATCCCTCTGCATACCAGTTTGAGCTGGAAGACAAAACATTTGTTTTCTTGGTAAAGGAGCTGAGTCACCAAAGAAAGTAGTAGCAGGAATATCCACAACTGACCAATGAGCATTTGTATTTTCTACTCCTTCCCCTTATTTTTACTTTTGCCCAATTAGAATGTTAGGACTAATGGTCTAGGAACACTGTTTGAGTGTCCATCAAGTATTATACCCGCCCAGTCACCTACAGTAATAATAATGAAATAGTTAAGTTTAGGGTAAGAATATTTTGTAGGAGGAGATCTCAGAATCGAGATTGTGAATATGTAATTAGGTATAAAACCCCCATCCCCTGCATGAAATCCTCACTTGGAACCCCCTCACTTGGAACCCCCTCACTTGGAAACCCCCACCTGGAACCTCCTCATCCGAAACCCTTCTCCTGCTAATACATCTTTAATAATCATCAATGCTTCAAATATCGAGTATACAACATACTTCAAGATTTGGACTTTGGAGAAATATCAGCGAGTAACAGTGTAGACACTTCGAGAGGTTGAGGAAATTCTGAAATACACCTTCCGTATTTTAAAGTCAACTCAATGTCAACTTCGGCTCAAGGCATTTGGGAAAGTGTGTGTTCCACGCTATAAAAGAACTGTATCCAGCATAGTATAAAGTCACGTCCAGCTTCGTTCCCGTACCCGTCAAGCTCCAGTCCCGCCAAGTCAAGTCCAGCTTTGTTCCCGCCAAGTCAAGTTCCTCCAAGTCAAGTTCCTCCCAGTCTCGTCCAAGTTCGTCCCAGTCGCATCCCGTTCCAAGTCAAGTCCTCGATCGAAATATCAGCGAGCTAAGTGGCCATAATTACTAACTTCATTTCCATTAACCTATCCCTTCCCCTTCCCCATTAGACTGTAACTAATTAAGTAAGAATTAAGTCGCTCTTTAACTCTTAAGAATACTTTGCAATTATATTTATTGCAACATTTATATATAAATTGTATTATTTCTATTATTTTGATTTGATGGATGAGATTTGTCATTCATATTAATTAAATAATTACCAAGTGACATCGTAATTCAAATCGTGTCCAAGCACTTTATTTCTGGATTTGTCTCTTTGTATTTTATATTTTAATAATATAATATCATACACTGACACAGTGGTCTATTTGAGACTAACCCACCCCCGAGTGAAAGTCATATAGCTAGCGGACCAATACAAAAACCTGATTTCACTCGGAGCTCGATTCTATTATTTCATCATAATAGAAGACGGCGTGGCGTGGCCGTTAGACATGCATGATCATTCTAAATTTTCTTTTGACAGAGGTTAACAAAAATCTAAATTATAGTGTATAACAAAGAGTTAGAGAACAGAACATCAAGTGGGGTGGGTGTGAGAGAGGGTTGTGTCACCTTCTTTTTCACGTTTCCTTCCCAGTATGCCTAACTTTTTCTACCTTATCTTCGTTTCCTTCTTTTTTCTTCTCTTTGTATTACTTTGCGCAGTTTGATTTGGGGCACATGAATTATGAGGCTACGCCAGTGATATTGCGGTACAGCTATGTTGTTTGTATTACAAACTTTATGATTTGTAATTTCAATATTTCTTTTAATGCAAATTGTGAAATAGAGCAAGCCTAACCTGAGAATTATACTAATTCCTTGTTCTTTCTTCTTGCCTCTTTGTTTTTTTATTTTTGTAAATTTTAGTAAAATGTTTCATTATACTTTCTTCTTTTTTGATTTATGACTTTTCAGTTCCGAGGCTTCCCGGTTTGATACTGAAGCCATCTCAAGAAGGTGCAAATTATTTGTTTTAGTATAGGTGAAATTTATGTATGATATGACATTTTAAAAACATTTTATTGATTGTATCACTGCTACTCAATGTGCTAGTTTTTACTATTTGCCGTCACAAAACAGATATCTGAAGGAGACGGGATGATACAGTTAACAACTCAATTATTAATACCCCTTGTAAATTTGATATTTTTGTGTTTTTAGTAACTCAAGAAGGAAAGGTAGACCGGATGAATTAAGGCCTTTGTTTAATACTTTTAGATGTAAGCTTTAAGACGTCACATTCTCAAGAAACTTACATATGAATAAGTCAATTTTTCATACGCTTTTAAAAAATAAAAAACTTGGTAAGAGTATATATGAAGATAAAGTTGAGTTCTGGTCATGCGATTGCATTGTTAAAGAAACAGTGTGGAATCGATCATGTAGCATAATAATTATTGGTGTGTACTGCAAGTCTCTGGAATCATCAAAATGATAAGAAATTTAGCCATATCTTGGTAAAGGTACAAGCACTGTTTTCACAGAAAGATTTATATGGGAATACACATGTGGCATAAAAATCCGTCCCGATTTTTATGCTGTTACATGCCATATGTAGAAAATCAAGGCATTTGAAGAGCCATGCTTTTCAAGGAACATTTTTAATCTGATGCTCTTCCACACTTGCAGAATATCAATATTAACGCTCACGAATTATTTTTCATCTCTCCCAAAACTCAACCTTCCCTTTAAGACTGGATCAAAAGAAGAGCGGGGTCAATCGTGCTCAAGAATATCCACATCAAAAATGCTTGTAGTATGTCTATGGTAACACTCGATAAACATGCCGCTAGCTGAGATTGGCATCTTTTACCCATCATATATTTTTATCACTGAAGCGAACTAAAACAATGATTATCATATTGATCGCCTGAACCCAAAGGCAAATACGTAATTAGAATACAATCATATGGACCGCCCAATTACACTTAAGAATACGCTTGAAGTCAGAGAGAGCAGGATAGAGAGTTAGAGAGGGGAGGGGAATGGAGGAAGGGAAAGAGGGGGAGGGGAGGAGAAATAGAGAGAGAGAGAGAGAGAGAGAGAGAGAGAGGAGGGGGGAATGGAGGAGTGATGGATATAGAAAGATACTGGGGAGAGAGAACAAAAAAGGAGTGTGTGAGAGAGAAAAGAAGAGAGAGAGAGAGAGAGAGAGAGAGAGAGAGAGAGAGAGAGAGTTTGGGAGAATGAGAGGCATAGAGAGAGAGAGAGAGAGAGAGAAAGAGAAAATGGGAGATAGAGAGGGAGATGGGAAGGGGTGAGAGATAGAGAGAGTGAGAATGTGGATGGGGGAAATTATTCTTAAAATGCGAACCAACCCTTAAGGGGACTCGGTAACATTGTTCAGATGAGAGAAATGGTACTACGGTAGTGAACGTGAACGCTTTGACAAATTCGACCCACTTTGATTAAATTTGATACCTTCCAAAGTTTAAACTTTAAAGCTAATGATTACGACCTACGAGCCGGACTTTGTTGCGTGAAAAGTACCCCTTTACCGGAGATTTTGGAAACGTGAATGCGGTCCCTCCGTTCCAGGAGTGGGGGGGGGGGGGGGGGGGGGGGGGGTATCAGTATCATGAGAACGTCATAACATTTCAGTTCGTGGACATCACATGGAAACGCGTTTCTATGTGATTTACGAAGGTTTCGACAAACTGGCCCTGGTATCACCGTTTCATTTCGAATAAAAATTGGCTTAATTTGATACTGGATTGAAGACTAGATGGGTTGCTCAAAGAAGCAAAATAGACATTTGTTTTAGATGTTTCAAATGAATACACGTTTATCCAGCGATGAGCTATTAAATACATCTGTTATTAAGGCCTAAAAAATGTATTGCCCTTTGCGACCGACTGTTTTTTTACCGTTTTTTTTAGAAGAAATGTATTAAAGATTCAAAACTGAGAAATATCAGCCCAAAAAGGGAGTTAAAAAGAAAATGTATTAATAACAAAAGTAAAAATTCTGACCGACTGACCCATGTTTTGGCACCTAAAGGGCAATACAACATTTTTGTTTAGGCCTAGTAGTCTGAATTTAAAACTGCATAAAAGGTCAGTCAACGGATTGGCCTGCCCGACATAACAACACGTAATCCATGCAATATCCCGGTTCACTAACATATATAAATAATGTCATGTAACTATGTTTCTCTCCTGGGGACCTAGTGACGAGTGGTTCCATTTACCTGATATTGGATACTCGGAATCCAGTCTACATATATTACTTGTTACTATGTCGGGCAAACCTCGGACAAGCTTTCAGGTTTTCAAGAACAACCTTTCTTCAAACAGTATGCATGAAATTTGGATGTGTAAGTAAACCCGTCCTTTTGGATTCTAAGCATTGAAATACAATAATTTCCCAAACAGGTGAATGCAATAATTCGTATTACGAGACACTTTCAGCGAAGACGTTTTGTATTCAAATTTGACTACAGTATGTAAAGGGTCTATGAAGTCTTCTGCATGTATTTTAATATTGACTTTTTTCATAGCTGCTACCACCCTCCCCCAAAATGCAAACATTAGCAAATAACAGTCCTAGACAGGAAGTCTATGCTTGAAAGAAAAAAAAATGTAGAAAGCAAATATTGAATCGATCGTGAAGTATCATGACTCTTTCATCCAGAGTAATTGAACGGAATGAATATCAAACAGTATCGGAAAATGTCTTATCAGTTTTATGGTTTTATCAGTATTTGGTCTTTGCTTTGCCACTTCATCGGTCAGCTGATCGCCCGACGCGTGCTCTTCATGACGAAACAATGGGATCGCTGAAGCGTGGAAGCACACGCGAACACACCGCGGCACGCACCTGCACCTGTTCCGGCACATTCCGATGCCTATTGTTCGGTTGAAGAGGGTTAGTCTTGGTGGTCAGACTTTGGTAGCGTCTTATATTAACAGACTGATAAGTTTGGTTTGCATTGAATGATTGCGAACATTAAAGGTTACCCCACTTTTAAAGACAGATGAGATTCGGGGGAGGGATGTTTGTGTGTGTATGTAGGGAGGCGGGGGGGGGGGGAGGGGGAGGGGGCAGGGGCATATAGTCAAGCCGAAATATGCATTTATTTAATACATGCGTGTGTCCCCAGCCCTTCCCCCTTTTTGTTTTGTTTTTGCTTTGTTTTTGTTGTTGTTCTTTTTGTTTTGGTGTTGTTTCTGTTTTGTTGTCTTTTGTTTTCTTTTGTTCTCTTTTTTTTTTGTTGCTTGGTTTGTTTGGTTGTTCGTCAGAGCTGTAGGACACACAAAGTTCCTCTGGTGAAATAATCAGAGATCCGCCACTGCAAAAGAAGAAAAGAAAGATGTAGTGAATTAGATCT